TCTTACTTTAGCAAAAGGACTGGATAACCGAATATTTTATCAAGATTTATTTGTTTCCAAAATATACAAAAATTACATTAATTAATAATTGTATTGAGCACTTTTCCATTTCATAATTTTTATATAATACATTTTGAATACAAAGAAAGAAGATTTCTACATTACCGAATTTATACTGTAATTATGTAAATTTTATTTCCAAGATTAAAGTACTAACATTAAAGATATTTTCAGAAAGAAGCAAATAACTTGCTTCAAAAATTCATATATATATATATATATTTTTTTTTTTAAAGAGACGAGAAAAGAGATTATGAATATGCGCTCGACTTTATCAATTGTTATCAATCATTTACCCCTCGTGCACATGCAGTAACTTAATGGAAACTGCCGCTTACGTATTGTGTCGCCATAGTAGCGCATCTGTCACCTTCGTAATCATATATCGGAAGTTAAAGAGAAATTAAAAGGCCGTTTGCGGAAGCGAACGTTAGATTCATCCGTTCCACCTTCGATGGTGATTAAACGATCGTATCGAAAAAAACCGATTGTCCTTGTCTGGAGTTAAAATTTCATCAAGACGTACGCGAGTCGACCGCGAGGTTATGGCAGTCGTACGGAGATGAGGAACAACCGATGTTTCTCGACACGAACTGATTGCATCTGCGATGTAAGGAATTAAGTTCGGAACTCGATATCATCTCCATCCTAACATGATGGAGCTGAAGGTGTGGGTGGAGGGAATTCAACGCATTGTGTGTGGCGTTACCGAGACCACCACCTGTCAAGTATGTATATCACATGAAGTTTGCTATTGTTTACAACCATTCTATTGTACTAATTTTAAACGTATTTGTATGCCTACATGTATATATACATGTATATATGCATATATCAATATAGAAAATGATTCAGAGAATTATATCGATTATTATGAATTAAACATCAACCAAATTATATGTATAGTTACTGGAATTAAATAGCTGTTTTGTAACAAATGGACAAAATAAAACATCATGTTGTACAAAAATTTTTATTAGCACAATGCAATAGGAATATATATATGTATATGAAATTATGAAAATAAATATAGAAAATCAATAATTTGACTGATTCAGTAATTGAGATTTTATCATTATTGTCATTGAGAATCATGCTTCTTTTGTTTTATCTCTTGCAAGACTGTTTATTTAAAACTCTGCTGCTATTTATCTTTAGGATGTGGTGTATGCACTTGCTCATGCTACAGCTCAGACAGGTAGATTCACTTTGGTGGAGCGTTGGCGAACCAATGAACGTTTGCTGGCACCTTATGAAAATCCTCTTAAGGTCAGGCATATCTTCTACATGTACTATGATAATATCACTAGGATAATATCATGAGCTTATATTTTATACTGTTAACAAAATGTAAAAATCTTTAATAAATCGAAATGTTTATATTAATATAATCACATTCGAGAAATAATTAAATTTACTATTTATGTTGATCAGATTTTGATGAAATGGGGTGAATACTCTTCAGAAGTTCAATTGATTCTGAGACGTTCCACGCCGGAAAATAAAACAAATGCATTACCATCACGACTAACATATTCATCGCGTGCAAATGGATTACCAATTTCATTGCCTGAGCATGGAACAGGTACTGCTGGAATACAGGATGAGAGTAAAAATGTGTCAACCACGCAAAGTTTAGATTTTGATGATACACAAGGAGGATTAGAGAGGAATAGAGATACAAGGAAATCACTTACATTTAGTGGCTTTCATGGAAGTATTATAGAAGGTAGCACAGAAGTAAGTCTATATTCTTAAATAAATGACAAAAAAGACAAATTTGTATATATATGTTAGTACTCGTATATTATACATATTAGCATAAATTAGATAAATGTTATTAACAATAATACTTTATTATAAATTTTATTACATTAGTAACATTTATAATTATGTCTTCATATCATATCTTTGTCTACATTAGATTTTTCATAATTAATTTTTATTATAAAAGTGCAAATAAAAATGTTATTTTAGATTCAAATGGAGAATAATGTGGCTGTTGTTCAGCCCACACCACATTTGAAGAATAAGGATTTGAATGTTCGAAAAAATGTACAAAAACCAACACAGTCGCCTACACGAGGGACTAATGCTGAAAGTGAGTTATTCTATTGTAATTTAATATACTTTAAATATGCTAATATAATCGTATTTCATATATTCCAACGATTCTCATGATATTATGTCTCGTTATTAATCTATTTTTTTTTCTTTAGCAACACACTTGTCGCAAAAAAAAGTACGCGAGGTTCCACCTTACAGAGAGCCTCCAGGTCCAGCTTCGCCACCCTTACGTACTTTGCCACCTTACCGAGATCCACCGCCACCAAATTTAAACAGTCCTGGAAGATCACAATTTGTACATGGCAGTGGAAGTCCTCATGTGCACAAAGATGATCAACCATCGTCTAGTAATTCCATGAAATTGAAAAGGAATCTTATCCAGGTTTTGTTGCTACAAATATGTTCGATAATAATTTGTGGGATTGCGTGCAATTTACAATATATTCTTTATAGGAATTTCAAGATACAAAAGTGCCTACACAATCTGTTAATCCACTTTCTGTCACGGCACAAAATATGGCAACTGTCGCTTATACTCAACGATATGTTGAACTTATAAGACTAGTCAATAAACAACGGGATACTATTAATGCTCAACAAGCTGATCTGACAAAAGTAAATATCTTTTTCGATAGTTTGACTTAATACACAATTAATGAAGAATATCTAATATTTTTTCTAAATATTGACCTTTTTAAGATTGATTCGATTAATTTATTTACAAAAATATGCAATAAACTACAATATTTATTGATTTTAGTTTGATGCAGAAATATTGTATTGGGAAACAAAGAGTAGAGAACAAATGCATCAAATGGATTATATTTCTCAAGAAATGAATCGCATTGAGTCTACGGGTCGAATAATTGAGGAACAAGTAACTTTATTTTTTTCTTTAATTATCATGTATTATTACATTAATATTAGTCACGAATTATTAATTATTATTTACCTTGATTAGTTGAAAGAATTGGCTCATGTAGAAGAAGAAAGTGAAATAGTTAGGCAGCAGGAAAAAACACTGAAGTCAGAAATAACATTGCTTAGATCAAAACTTGCCAATTGCGAAACGGAACTTCTTCAATGTAAAAATAAGATAAGGTAAATGCAAGCACAATTTTATTCATAGAATTGTAAAAATGATGTTATTTTTCAAGTATTCTTTAATACATTATAATGTAAGAAATTGCATTACGTTAAATTACAATGTGAATTATAACAGGTTAGTTATGGAAGAGCTTGCAATGGAACAACACAATATAAGTCGTGAAACAGATGAGCGGCAAATTATGGAACGAAAAATAATCAGCGAAGTAGAACATTTGCAAAATGAGGTGGAACAAGCCAAACGTGCAACTGAATTAGCTTCACAACATGCAGAATCTTTAAAATTAGAAGTAGTTAACCTGGAATCTGCGATCGTTGAGAAGAAATTGCAAGTAGAGAGATTGGTAGCCGACATGAAAGAAGCAAATCTACAAAGTTTAGCTGTTGCATGCTCAGATGAGCAAGTCAAATCTTTATTAGAAGGTCATTATATTTACATCATATCATATTTATGTCATGTATATATGTATATGTTATTAAGTTTATGTTTCGGATATATAGAATGTTTAATAAATAAAATCACTTAATCATTAGGTGCCCATAAACCTGGGAGTACACGTAAGATGATAGGATCACCAAGGCAATTGGAAACTGCAGTGCCCACAAGTAAGAATCCACATGGTGTGTGGGTATAAGAAAACAAATATACCTGATAATACTGTCGTGAGAAAGCATATCAAAGAGTATACGTTAAAATATTTGTATGTTTATATTGTTTAAAGTACGTGAAGTACTTAATTTTTCTACATATCTTTTATGCATTTATTTCAATAATCATTATGTGTCATTGATAAGTTTTTATCTTTTATGTATATATATCTTTATCTTAATCTATCTCATTTATTCACAAAATATTAGTGAAAGTATTAAGTATGTAAATTGTTACATGAATCACTTATATTTTTGAGAATATTTAATATATTTTACATTTTCATTTTTACATATGATTATTTAAAAAAAGAAAACGATTTTGCTTTTGAATATTATATGTATTTGTTAGCAAATTTTCTTTTTATGATCAAATATAGCTTTCCAAATATATAGATATAATTCCAATTTATAGGAGGTAGTTGAGTCTAAAAATCAAAATTACTAGTACGCTCTATTAATTATGTGTACTTATTACATTGATATTTTATAAATAGCTATTTTATATTGTTTATAACATTATGAAATATTTTGCCATAATAGATTTAATTATGGTTTTGTATTTTTTTTTAGATTAATCACAAACATTAATAGTAATTAGTATAATATAATTATATGATATTTTTAATATTTTCCATGAATTATTGATGCCATGTTAACCGTGAAACTAAAATAGCTTAAGAAGTCTTTACATTTGAAATTTATTAATTAACTCGAAAAGATTATACTTGAAATTGCAAACAAATTTATTTGTCTAAAAATTTTTTTAATTCAAGTTTAACAAATTCGTAAATTTGTTTAATATATGATATTGGGTATAAAATATATAATTTAAAAAAAATGTTTTGATACAATTCAATAATCTTGCCATTCTGCGGTTTTCACATAGCATCGACAAAATATATTTTACAAATATATATAATTTTTTATATAAAAATCTCAAGTATTTTTATGACATTGATATTTTTATTAAGAACACATTTATTTTATATATCTACAGTTATATCATTAGGGTTAAAAATGTTAAAGTATATGCCACTTATAGTATTGAAAAAGACGTTATAATTAATGATTACAATATGCATATTTGAACACTATAACTGTGCAATGATTGATTTTTATCTAAAAAATAACAATGTATTCTGTGTATACAATTTATGCGTTCTATAATATTATTGTTTTGGTAAAAACAGTCCTAATAATCATATTCTCTATATTTATTGCTCTTTTAACGCATAATTGTAAGTGTAATTAATTTTATTTTAAAAATATATCTAAGATATCAAATTTATAAAGATTTTATATAACTATTT